CAGCTGACTTGGGGACGCCTGGGGTTCTTAAGTTGATTCTGTATGTAAGTCAGAACTGGCGGTCAGTTTCAGCAGTGTCTGAATCTGGACGCCAGTTCCGACTTACATACAGATTCAACTTAAGAACAAACCTACAGTCCCTATCTTGTACGTAACCTGGGGACTGCCTGTATAGGGCTATGTAGCACTTTAAAGACTAACAAGATGGTTTATTAGATGATGAGCTTTCGTGGGTCAGACCCACTTCCTCAGATCAAATAGTGGAAGAAAATAGTCACAGCCATATATACCAAAGGATACAATTAAAAAAAAGTGAACACATATGAAAAGGACAAATCACATTTCAGAACAGAAAGGGGATGCGGGGGGGGGGGGGAGAAGGAAGGTGAATGCCTGTGAGTTAATGATATTAGAGGTGGGGAAGGGTAGATGTCTGTGAGTTAATAGTATTAGAGGTGATAATTGGGGAAGAGACTACTCAGGAACCAGAGTACTTTAAGATTAAGTTCATTGATTTGAGAACTTCTGTTTTAAGGGAGTCATAGGGTTAGTTTAAATACCGACTGGAAACAAAATAACTACATTTGTTTGAAGACACAAGGTGGGTTAGGTAATAGGGATTGTGACTGATCTAGTTTTGGGCGCGAGCGCATAACCCCCTCCACGGGGTCATAGCCCAGCGACCCCGCTATCTGGTTCATACGAATTCAGTATTTTGATGGGCGTGAGCTCCCGACGCCCCCTGAGGGGGGCGAAACGGGGCCCAGCGAGCCCAGCGCTCCTGGTTCACCTCCCAGGCGCCTCAGTCCTTCCCCACGGTTCTTGGGGTGACGGGGCCTCCCATCTCCTTCTTACTCCCTTTTCGCCCGCGTTGTGCTGCACGGAGGAATCCAGGGGACTAGGGGGACCCGGGCCCACCCTCTCCACCAGGTCCCAGCCCGGGGCCCTAAGGGTTTGGGGCTGGCCCTTACCTGGCTGATGGGGTCCCACCCCGTAACGCGTCAGCCCACGAGCGCCAGAAGGGCCCTGCCCCGGGCTGCTTCCTAGCTGCCCTTGGGTCCGCGGTTCCCGCGTCCGAGCTGCCGGTCCTTACCTCTTCGTTGGATGTACGCAGGATTCTGCCCTGCAGTTCCCCCAGTGTTCCGCCCTTCCGTCTCCACCGTCTCCATCGTCTCCCTGGCATCCTCCCCCGTGTCCTGGGCCCCGCCCCTGCCCCCGCCCCCATCCCCACTCCTGGCATCACTGATGTCCATACGTCGGGACGCAGGGGACGAAGTTGCGCCCCGATGCCCTCCGTAGGGGCCATGCATGCCCAGCCCAACCCGCCGCCTGTCCCGGCTTCCTGCAGCCGCAGAGCCCTACTCCCGGCAGTGTTCAGCGGGGGGGCCCTTCCGGCGGCGCACCAGCAAGGCAGGCCCCCTCGGGCGCTCCACCGGGGCCGGGGCTGCTGCCCGCCCCGTTCTAGTGTGGGCCGCTGCCTGCCTGTCACAGGGATGTTAGCGTATAGTTGTGTAAATGATTAACCAAAAAGCTTGGGCTTATCGGTGAATCCTAATGACTACTCCTCCCTCCTAGTGCGGAGAGTGAAGGGAGCCGGTAGGTGTGGGAAGCCAGCTGTCAAACCAGTTCACTGTGCAGTGCTGGCTCCTTGGAGCTACCTGCCTTCTCCCCCTTGCTGCCTCCCAGCGAGGCAGCAATGGGTTTGGGGGAGGCAGGCAGGAGCCAGTGCTCACAAGCACCGGTTTTGCAGAGCTGCCTCCCTCACCCCTGCCTGCTGTTGCCTCTGTATCAGAGGCAGTATCATGGGGGGGAGAGAGGACTAGAGGCTGTGCCAGCATCCAGCCTGTCTGTGGTGGGCCTGGGCTAGCTGCAGACAGAAGCTGCTCTGTGAGATGGTGGAGCAGCCTCTGTCTGCGGGTAACTCAGGCCCCCCATGGACAGGCTGCTGCCATCCCACGCTGCTGCCTCTGTATCAGAGACAGCAGCACAGAGTGGCAGGGGGCTCCCCAGGAATAATGCCGGGAGCTCACTGTGGCAGCTGCCCCCAGGGACCATTGAATAATAACCGATAAGATTTGGTGCAGTTACACGATCATTCAATTAAACAGTATCTAGCATCCCTTTTAGGTAATATCTTAAATTGGACCAAATTCATTTGGAGACAGAGGCAGGCTTTTAAGCTATACAGAGCTCTTGTTTAGTCCTGAGCTAATAAATTGGTCTAATGGAAAAATATTTATCCCTCACCCATTTTGTGTCTCTAATAGCCTGTGACCAATATGACTACAACAGCACCGAAAACATTGGATTAAATCAGTTGATCACTTCTTAGGTATATTGGTGCAAGTGAGGATGGACACACAAATCAAATAATTCATTTTGAAATAACTTATACTCATTATTCAGTTAAGTTAGGTTAAATGGCCCAAGGATCCTATTAATTTGTAATCTTTAAAGTTGTAAATTAAAATAGATTTAAATATTTGGATTCCACTTTGTTTATAGACAGAGTTTTCAGGAATGACATTTTGGAAATTCTTAAGCCAATGTTGTCCTCCTATACAGTAGGGACATGGGAGGTAAATTGATGGATGGGGCTCACTGTAGTGGGTCTTGATTCTATTCCATCTGTGTTCCTTCTTGAAACACCCATTATTTTCCATTTGTGCAGGACTGAGTTTGTAAGTATGATTCCTACAAAACATTTAGAGTAGCTTTCAGATAAATTACTTGCTCTCCTC